TGAATCATCTGACTGTCACTTGGGATGAGACAGAAAATCGGAAATCTGCAAATTGTTCCCTGCCTCTGTTCTGCTTGGTGTTGCTTCTCTTCATACCACTTCTGTGATGTATGTGTTGTGATAACCAAGTAGGTAATGATATGGTGATTATTGCTCCCTAGCAACCCTGCCTTGTAGACAAAAATCAAAACACACACATTTTGCTCCTCGATCTGACCTATTTCAATTATCTTAAATTTTGCCCTGAGCCCTTTCCTATGTGCGCATACACACACTCATGCATGGATGTGCTTACTTACCATCTGCTGTGGTTTCTATGAGTCCCCCCAAATTCATGTGTTGATATGTGGATGCTATTGTGAGGTATTAGATGATGGAGGGCTGGATGGTGGCAAGGTGATAATGTAATGCTCCGTGGGCCTGGACCCACTTGGGAATGTCTAAGATTCATTTCCTAAAACCTCCCTGTGCATGCCAGACACACGCACAAGAGCTAGTGATCCAGGCTGGTGGAAGGTGGGGGTAAATTGAGGCATGAAGACCTGGTTGGGGGTTTATCCCTCTCTCTCTTTCTATTTCTGTCTGTTTCTCTCTCATGTAATAAATAAATAAACAAATAAACTTAAAAAAAAAGAGTGAAACTTAATCCATCTGTGGTAGTGAGAGTGGTTCCCCCATGATTGAATCCTTGTGATTTTTAAAAAAAGAGAAAGTGAGCTACAGAAGCTGACAAATGCTCTGGCCCTGTGGCCAGGTGATGTCTTGCACCATCTTGGGACTCTGCAGAGAATCCCCACTAGCAAGAAGGCGCTTGCCAGATGTAGCCCTTGGACCTTAAACCTCCAAAATGTGAGCTAAATAAACCTCAGTTCTTCATGAACTACCCAGTCTGTGATATTCAGTGATAGCAACAGCAAAATGGACTGAAATGTCATCTCTGAGCTACCTTCTGGTTAATAACTTAAAATCTGAATGTTAGGATCATGAATTATAAGTTTGGAATAGTTTGTCTTATCAATATGCTTTTGGCAAGTTAGAATATTAATTACAAATAAGTTACATATCACAATACCAGGTATGCAAAAGAAACTATCATTGCCCCCTTGGGACTAGCTTTTCTATTCCCCTAGAGTAGTAAGCCTGCTTTTTCACTCTGGCCAGTTATGGTCTGTTTCTTCAAAGATTGTTTGTCTTATAGATTAGCTTTGATCTTTGTCTACAGACAAATATGGCAAGTTCAAAATATGTTGAATAGAAACACAAGAAGAAGTACATGCTATAGATGTCTGAGATGCAGGTACCCTGCTGACCTGATTTCCCTAAGCAAGCTATTCATTCATCTACTTCCTGTGCCAAACATGGGATGGGAGAAGTCTGGAAATGAAGAAAGCCAATATTATCCACGCCCTCAGGGAAAGCAGAGTGTAGTGAGGAGACTACTTAAATAATACTAAATAATATAAGACTGTAAGTGCACGTGACCTAAATGCTAGGAAGAATTGATAGAAGGTGCTGTGATGGTGTATGGCACATCCCAGTGGTGGTGCTACTTATGCATAGATGTCAAGGATGTGGGGGAGATGACAGGAATGGGGTGGGAGGAGGAGAGAGCACAGCCTATAGGTTGTGAAAGCATGTGGTGATGGTTGGGGGTGTATTTTGTAGTGCTTATAATCTCCCTGGCAGAAATTTAACATTTTTCGGGTCTTCTAGGGAGTTTGTCATAAACAAATTTGGTCAATATAGGTCTAATTAATAATGACAACACTAATATTTATTAAGTGCTTACTTATGTATCAGGGATTATTTGAAGTGTCAAGTGTTACCTTAGTGATTCTAGTCTCTGAGTAATCTAAATAGCTTCCCCCATCTACCCAGCTCCTTCACTCAGCTTTTCTTCTTTTTCCTTTTAGCTTATGATAGAGTATGCATGCACAACAGAGAGAGGCTGAAAGATAGAGAGAAAGAGGAGCACCTTCTACAGGGTCTAGTCGTGTTGTAATCCAGAGACACACCCTCTCCAGTTCTGGTCATGCTGTAGTCCCCTTCTTCTAGTCCTCCAGCTCATTGGATCTTGGATAACTGTGTGGGTGTCCAGAGGGTTTCAGGCTGAATGGGAGGGGAATTCTAACCATGGTTGCCATGTGGGATCCTGCTTCTCTTAGCAGTGTATTGCTGTTGTGCCATGGAGCCGGCTCCTTCTCTGCTCTTTCCTCTTTATTGCATTTTGTTTTTCCCTGTTCCTTGTACTTGAGGATAGAATCAGTAGATAGGAAGATATCGGCATCAAAGACATGATGACAAGATGGCTGGAGCCCCTTTTCTCTGCCTCTCTGTACGTGTTATGGAGCAGGACCACATGTCTGGTCTTTGCCAAGAGAAGGAGGGTGTTTTTCTTTTCTCTATAGTACTTAGCCCCATCTGGGATTTTGTATGTCCTTGTTTACCTGTTTATTGTCTGTTTCTTTGATTGGAATATAACCTTCATGACAGCAGGTACTTTTGCCTGTTTTTTTTCACTGCTGTTTTCCCTGGAACTTAAAACACTGCCTGGCATATACTTGATTTTCAAGAAACACACACACACACACACACACACACACACACATATATATATATATATATAATTTTATTTTTTTTAAAAGAGGTTTTCACCTTAGGATACATGCAATCACTAGAAAGAGACAGAGACAGAGGCAGTGAGAGGGAAAGTGAGAAATCACCCCTTAAGTGGAATGGCCATGCTACAATCTCTTCTCTTCCCGAGATCTTGGGCAAACATGTGTACATACCCATCGTGATTTTCAAGCCACCAGGTCTGGGTCTTGAACTTCAGCTGGCCATATGGGAGTCCAGTGACATTAGCTGCTATGCCATCTGCTAGCCCCAAGAAATACATATTCTCTAAATTAATCTTTGATAGCATTCACTTAAGCCTCAGAGAATCTTTATGAAATAGGTACTTTTTTTTTATTTTTTATTTTGCAGATGATCAAATTTGGCTTAAGGGCCAAACCCAGCCATGAATTCATTTATGTATTGTCTAAGTATCTCTTTGCTGCAAAGGCAGAGTAGAGGACTTGTGACAGAGACTGTATGATCTGCAAAGCTAAAATTAGTATCTGACCCTTTACGGAAAATGCTTGCTGACTTCTGATCTAGAGAGATGAATAGAGGAAACTTGCTTGTGTTACATTCACAACCAGTTTGTCCAGGGGCTTGCCAGCAAACTCATCTTTTTGTGGTTGGTTCTTGGAATCTTTTTTTTATTTAATTTTTTTGTTGTTGTTCCAGAAGCGCATGCGCACGCGTGCGGGAGAGAGCGAGCGAGCATTCCCAGCAGGGTCTTTTTTTTTTTGGAGAGGTTTTCACTATAGGGCGCGTGCGCTCGCCAGACAGACAGAGAGAGACATAGAGACAGAAAGCAAGAAATCACCCCCCAGGGGGGATGGTCACGCCGCAATCCCTTCTCCTCCATTCTCCTCTCGGGATCTTGGGCATGCACGCACACGCTCCCGGCGTGAGTTTTAAGCCACCAGGTCCGGGACGCGAACCGCGGTCGACTACGTGGGAGTCCAGTAACATAGCCATTACGCTAACTGCTGATTCCCCCCAGCAGGGTCTTAATGCTACAATCCACGCTAAGCCCCAGCCAGCCCAGATCATGAGCGGGTATGTGCGTGTGTGCCCAGTGTACTCAGGGAGGTCTCTGGTCACGAACCAGTCTTCTCATATGGGAAGCGTGGCAGAGTGCTGTGCCTTCCAGCACACCACCATCCAGCTCCTTTCTTGGGATTTCATGACACACAGTGCCGCTTATTACTGGCAAACTCCTCATATGAATCCCTATGTCTCGGTGCCATAGAGAGTCCCAGAATTTGTTTACATCTTTTTCTAATTTAGGTGTTAAGCAATAAGGACCACAAAGCAAGTTCTTCGATATTGATCATGGAACATTAGGCAAAATTATAACTTTGTGTGTATTTAAAACATACTGGTTTCTGGGGATCTTTAAGGTGGCTATTTCACTCTCTCTCTAGACAAGTGGCTCAAATACTTTCTACAGCTGTTTCTAGGATTTCATTATTTACATATTGGCAAGATCACTGGGCTTGCGTTCAGGAAATAATATCATGCACTGGATGGGACTGTAGAGGCATTTCACCTCTTCTCTCTGAGCCTCAGTTTCCTGGTGTAGACAGTCTTGTTAAGTGTAAAATGTTGTTAAAGGGAGACAGCCTAAGACTGGTGTATGCATGCATGTATCTTTAGTGGGTGTGTTCTAAAAGGAAAATGAGCTTTCTTTAACAGGTTAAATACAATAGAGAAATATTCTAAAATGAACTCTACTTGCCACTATTTTCACCTCTTACCTTTTAGGCAGTCTGGATCAGTTCAACTTGTCCAACCAAGGAAAGGTTGCTTTCGAGACCAGGATGCCATCAAAGCAGAGCGTGAAACTAGTGTTCACTTCACACCTTGGATTCCGACGTGTTGGTTCATACAACTATTGGCCAGGGGGACTGTCTCTTGCCAGTGAAAAGAGTTCTTTCTGAATTGTATAAAAATAAACACTTATTCACTAAGAACACCAACATTAGTTGAGCTGTCACTGTATTCCAAGCACTGCAGTAAGTGCTAGGGCCAGGAAGAATAGACAGTCATTGTCCTGCAATGACCCCAAATTCAGACTTGAAATACTCCGAAAAGATTCCATTTGGATAGGATGTTTTAATTTTATTACAGCTAGCCACAGCAGTGGAGGTCCGTGACTGCTCCCCGACTGCACCTCCATAACTTCTCCTCCTGGATTCTGCATTGTCTATTGATTCCCCACCCCACCCCCCAGCTCCTCTACTTTTTTTGGACTTTTATTCACACACAGGTGTAATTGACCATCGACAGTTCAGAAAATCTTTCCATGGTACTTGCATTATAGCAGGGTTCAATGTTCTTTTATTAAGAACCCATCTGTTATCAGTCAAAGTGGCAGTCATGTTAAAAATTACTTATGGGATTACCTGAGTATTTCGGGGATCAGATAACAAAAAGATTTTTGGGGAGTGATGGAGTGGGATGGAGATTCCATGTTTTTTGTTTTTTTTTTTCCCGAGAGCTATGACAAGTTAGATGACATAGATAAGCACCTGCTCTATTAATACATAAAATCCAAGTTTAGCAAAAAGCACAGTTACAGGGTAGAAATTTTCATGTGGAAGTGTTCTCTACCAAAAAGAAATTTAGAGATGATCTTCAATATGATCTGATCATGCTGCAATCCTTTCTCCTCCATTTCTCCATCCTGCCAGGATTTTAGATATGTATACACATGTGCCAGGTGTGTTTTTCAAGCCACAGGTGCAGGGACTCAAACCACAGTTGTCCATATGGGATTCAGCTCCTAATACGTAGCATATAGCAACGTAGTCAGACCCTGTCTAAAAAGGAGGAGGGCATGGTGTTATGTTCCTGTGGTCCTAGCTTAGAGATGGAGGCAGGAGAATCACAACAGAGATACCCTTTCTTTAAAAAAAAAAAAATGGGGGGAGACTTTCTCTCACATTTTAACATACCATGACTTTATGAGTTTCTGCCCTAGTAATGCCTAACATTAATGGTCATTGGCCACCTATAGGCTCAGCTCTGCCCAAACCCAAGCCAGGTAGACCCTTGTCTGGTAGAATATTAATTAATCACTCCCTGTAGTAGGTATCTTTTGTTTTGCTTATTCACCATCCATATCTCTGTCTTCTGATGATAGGACACAACTTTTCCTTGGAGAACTACCTCTCTCCTACTTCTTAATCCATGTGATTGGTTGGGGCTTGCCCCATCCAGTCAGAGTACCTCATTTCCCTGGACATAGTGACTGGTTCAGAAATTATTCTAAAATCAAGTCAGGCAAATAAAAATTCGATTCTGGGAGTGACTCTTTCCTTAAAAGAGGAAGTGAGGAAGTTAGGAAGTAAGCCTAGAAGTAGTAGCAGTCATCTTACTGAAACTGAGCAAGGACCCCCTAATGTATTTTCTAGGGTTCCTGAAATATAAGGTCCATTTACATTGTGATGGCCCAGAGTAAGAAGTAAGTCTTCAGACTTTGGGTTATGATAATGACCAACAAGGACCACGAGTGAGGGCCATTTGACCTCTAAAACTCTCACTTAAAGGAAAGATAAGGTTTTCATTTCAACATGTAAGCAGTTTTATAAGCTGGAAACTGCTGGTTGTGAGCTCAAAGACTCCAGGCGATTGGCTCCAGACACCTGAAGAGAAATTTGATTATCTAAGGCCTCACCAATGAAGAATGCCCATGAGATGATCATGTCCTCTTGAACCAATCACTGAACTGATCCTGCACCTAGGATCTCTGCTCCTAATTTCACCCTTAAAAACCCATGTGGGGAACATCTCAGGGAGACCAGGTCTTTTCAGCAAGAGCTGCCTGCTCTCTTTGCTTTGCGCTTTGCAATAAAGCTGTACTTTCCTTCATCACACCATGTTTCTATGGTTTGGTTTTATAGCGCTTGGGCGAGCGAACCTGATTTGAATTTGGTAACATCACCAACCACCTTGTGGGCTAAATTATGGAAAGCGACTATAAGCTAATGATTACTGTTGAAAAGAATACAGAGGAAAGCAGGAAATGAATAAGGATATACTCTGGATACATCTGAGTTCCTAGATCCATCCATTCCTGAAGTTTTACTCACATCCAACTGAAGGATTTCTTTTTTCACTTTAGACCTGAGAGTTGAGTATCTATCGCTTGCAATGAAGAGTTCTGATGGAAACACTTTCTTTGTACTGTGAAGAAGAAGCTGTGACTCATGCTTTTGTTGATAGGTAAATAAGAGTTTAAATGCCACTGGTACTGATGTGTGTGGCCTACACCACACCCCCCTGTGTATAGCTAGCCTGCCTAAAAGACCATCAGCCTTGCTCTTCAGAGTCAGCACTGCAGCCTACCTACACCCCAGCCAACAGGTGGATCTGCCCTCCTGTCAGGCTAACACCAGCTTTTGACCTCGTGCTGGAATCGGCTTCTAATAAAGCCTCAAAGACTGTCTTCTGATATCCTAACTCCTCTCTGACACATTCTAGGTTTCTTTTTGTTCTCAGAAGCTTTAACTGTTGCCAGGACCCACCCACCATTGATTCCCTGGGGCTCTGGTACCTGCCTGACTGGATTTGAGCTTGCTCTAAATGGCTTGAATTAATCCTGGCATAACACTAAATTTGAACTCCTGATCACCATCCTTCTCCATCCTGAATAGGACCAGCCTTTTTTGTTCTTTTTTTTTTTCCCCTGGTTCCTATTTGGACAGTTTTTGCTTATCTTCTACCATTCTTTGGGAGTGATGAAAGTAATTTTATTTATAGACCTCCT